ACAAGATGGAGATGGGCTCAGAGCGGAGGAAAGCTTTCTGCTCTGATCACGGAAGGGAGGGGTGCAAGCCCCTGCCCTAGAGCACAGGCTCTCTGGGACAGGCCTTGGGCGGGACAGGGATGGGGACGGGGCTGCTTTATAGGGGTCTCACCGGCGGGAGGGACGGGGTTCTGGGGGGTGGCGGGGTAGCTGTGCTGCTCCGGCCCCGGGCCCAGAGCTGGGCACAGCCTCTCTGCACACGCCCAGCTCAGCTAGGGTGTCGGTTCTACAGCTGGGAACTCTAATCCGACACGTTAGGTGCGAGGCATCTGCACACAGTCCCCCTCCGGGCAAGTGAAACTAGACTGAGCACAAAAGAAGAGTTAGACCTTATCACCCAGATTCCATCTCATTTTTCCTGGGTACCCCAGTGGGCTTTGCTGGGGACACCTCCGTATCACCCAAATTGCTTAACCAGGACTGGTGGGCACACCACATGCCCACTGTGGCCCCATAGGTGAGGAATGCTGGCCGGGCTGGTGGATGGACCACAAGGGACTGCAGGGGCATCTGTCCATTGAGCTGGTTGCCACCGTAGAACAACGAGGACCCAACGTGGCCAAATCTGACGTTTTAGAGAAAGGCCGAAACGCCAATTTCCAAATGCTGTTCAGGCCAAAGCAAAGGTCACACCTGGCCCCCAGGGTGTCTGCAACCTGGATGATGGACCCTGTCGTCTGTCACTTCCTTTCTTCTGCATGTGGAGTGTCCACAGGAGGGCCGAGGCCCCCCAGCCACGCTGCAGCCCAAAGGCTGAGGCTTCCTGCTGGGTGTCACCTACTCCCAGGCCTGGCAGGAGGAGAATGTCTGTCTTCCACCATGAGTCTGTGGTGCTGTCAGTACAAGAAAGGGCCTGGACCACGAGAACATCATGCTCCCGGGAAGGCCTGTGGGCCCCCCAGCTGCAGTGCCCCCCAACCCCCAGGAGAAAAGGCAACTCTTGGGTGAGTTTCCAGCTTGAATAAACCTCTGTGCAGGTGTGAGGGGCAGCTGGGGACCCTCTGATCAGGTCCAAAAGCAAAAACTGACTATTATCACACTAAGATAAAATGAGAATGCTTTTCATTAAAAAAAAAAAAAATCTTGGAGGGCAAGGTGTGTTTCTTCTCTGCCACTCTCTGCCTTTTCCAACTGTTGTGTAGTTTAGCATTTCCAGTTGCTCTTCTGAAACTCTCTCTCCTTCCCTACCTGCTGCTGAAGGGACCTGGCCTTGGGCTTGAGATCCAGGACCTGAAAGAACAGCATTTATCCACCTATCTTTCCCCTTAGACGCGTCCTGCTTGTCCCACGGCTGGCGAGTGCAGCCTCACCGGCGTGTCTTGTCCCTTTGCTTTTCTCAGCATCCGGCGTGGCCAGGGGCAGAGCCGGTTACCAGATCCCTACCCCATTGGTGTGATGCTGTCCATCAACTAGGCCGAATGACCAGACGAGGACGAGCTCTGGAGAGGCCTGATCAATTCCTTCACGATTGCACCACATCGACCAGAATGCTTAATTCAGTTCCACAAGTTGACATTTCTTGGGCCTTCTGAGAAAAGTGTATCGTTTGCAAAAGTCACGGAGAATCTAAGTCCCCCCAGATAAACCAGGCCAGCCGTGGCAAAATGAACAGAGACATTCACATCCTCTGTCTGGGTCCTGGAGCGTTCGTGTAAGCTTTTTCTCATGGCTGTTTAGAAATGAATTTCATGATGCGAACACCCAAGTCTACACGGCCACTTAGAAACCACACGTGGCCGTGCTCTTGCCAGACAGTGTCTCCTGAAGATTGCGTGGCCGCCAACGATGGAGGTCTTCCATTTTGAATGTAAACTGGGAAAGAAGCGATTGTTTTCTATTTTTTAAATTCACAGTGTTCACGGAAATATACATTTCCCCAAAGGTCAGCACTAATGCCAGCTATCCAAAGCCCCCGGGGCCGTTAATGCAGACCTGCCCCCCACCCCACCAGCCTTGGCAAGGATTCCAGAAGCCCCTCTCCTTTCTATGGAGAAGGAAAGAAACTAAAGCACAGGAGCCATTCAGTTTGGGGGAAAAACTAGACCTAAAGCTTTTCCTAAAGTAAAACTTCTTTCTAACATTGTATCAAAAGGAGACGATCTTCACTTGACTAAATGTTCTCATCCATTGCAAAATGAGTTCTGTTAAATTCAAAGCTCTTCCAATTTTAAGAATGAAGGCTGCCATGTTTCCAGGATGATTTCAAGGAGGCCCACAGGGGTCCATGCCACTCAAAATCCCCTCTTGCCCACCCTAAACGGAGTCACCGCACCAGCGCAGAAGCTCCCCACAGAGCGGGGAGAAGCAGGCCCAGGTATCCTCACCGGCTCCTCCAGTCTCCTGAGAACCAGCCTGTGCTGGACGCCGTGGGGACCCGTTGCCCACCATGCGTTAGAGGTCAAGACACTCCCTGCGTCAGCTTTCCCGCACGGTCAGAAGTGTCCCACGCACTGAAGTGGGTGGAAGCCTTCAGGCCACGAGTTAGCTCCACAGAGGAGGTTTGCACTGGATGTGGGCATGGATGGCACTGGGGAGGTGCAGACGTGGACACGGGTCCTCTGGGCTGCCCATCTGGCAGGAGGGCCAGGGTGGAAGGTGTCTGGAGGGGCCGGAGGAGGTGAGAGCCTCAGACCCTCCACAGGGTTGCTGCCGTGGAAACACACACGGGAGGATTGGGCGTCTGAGCAACGCAGGAAAGATGGCGACAAACATAAAAGTGCCCACTGGTCTCTAACTCAGGCATTATAGTGGTTTCAAGATTTGCAAGTCCACAACTCCCTGAAGCTTTTCTAGAAGCTGCTGAGACCTAAGAGGCAGGGACCATCCTGGCACAGCTGCGCTTGAGTGTCTGGGCTTAGGCATTACTGATGCTTTGGTCCAAGAAGCTACCGTCTGAGGAGATCAACATCACCCCTCTCAGTTGATGCCTTCCAAGGTGGCCGGCTCCACATCAGTGCCTTTGCTCCAGGAATTAGATGGGTGTTGGATGTCGGCCTGGGTCTGTGGGGGCCCAGAACCCCTATCAACTCCATTCATTCAGGATTCAGCAGCCTTGAGTCACTCAGACCTCTGACAGGTTTCCACGAGTGCCCCCCGGACCCCCTCTGCCCTCCCTCCGGGCCTCAGGGCTCAGGCAGACCACCCTTCAAGCCTGGGCTCACCCACGGCTCTCCCCCTGTTCCCATGAGGCTCGCTCTTTGGTACTACTGCCCATCTTGGGGCACTTTGCAGTGTTTTGTCGCCTATTTATTTAGCAGAACTTTATTCTATATTAATGAAAGACCAATCAGGGCCAGGCAGCATGGAGTGTATACCATGCTGTGTGCCGTTTACGCATTCATTATTGCTTTCTTGGTTCAGTGAACATCTATAGGACGCCTGTTGCACACAGGTGCTGAGCTAGACAGCCGTGGAGCTATCACACAGCACGTGTGAGTGCATTTCTGCCTCCAGGATCATCCTTCCCGCCCATCACCTTCCTAAGCTCAACCCCTACCACCCCACCCCACCCCCCACCCCTGCCCTGCTTATCTCTACTCCGCCTCCTTGAGGGCCAGGCACATTCCTGCCTCCGGGCCTTTGCACCTGCTGTTCCTGGAAGGCTCTTTCCCCAGAGCCCCACGTGGCTCACTCTCTCCCGTCTCTGTCCCTCGGGCTTTACTCACTAAGTCACTGTCTTAGGGGAGAACCTTGCTCTGTGTCTCCTGTCCTCGCTTGATCTATGTTTCCTCCTAAGCAGTTCTTATTTGCATACTGAACATGGACCTATTTATCGCTTGGATATAAGCTCCACGGTGGCAGGGATGTTTGTCTGTGTTGGTCCCTGCTGGTTCCCCAGTACCCAGGACAGTGCTGGTCACAGAGTGGGTATGGAGCCCACATTAGTGGAATTAATAGTTGGATGAAAATATGACCTGAACAACAAAGTAGGTAGTTAAGGATGAAATTAGGTCCTATTCTGGTCAGGCGAACAGGTGATAGGTACTGAGCCGTGCGGCTGAGTGCCAGGTTGATTGTACGCATGCTTGTCACTGCCCCGGTCCTTTAATGCCTCGGTGTCCCTGGGGCTCGTTACCTCCTTCCGAAGAATTAACTTGTCTCGGAAAACAGAAGGTGCTCATCTGCACGTGGGCACCAGTTTTTCTTCCGTTGGACACACACGTGACATCCACTAACAGTCCCAGGAACAACAAACTCACATCCAGAGGAGCTCACATCACCCACGTGTCTCTAACCATGAAGGAGCGAAGTTTCCTGTTCCGAGACACTGAACATTAAGACAAAGTAAGAGTTAAAATACCAGTAAATGTTCCTGGCTCTTCCAAGAATGCATCAAATATTCAGCAATCCCCTGTAAATAAAGGATGGCCATACTGTCTTCCACATAAGAAAGCATGTGTTCAAACAGTTTTCAGGGCAAAGTTAGCAAATAGGGCCACCAACAGAACTGCTCTCTGAAGAAAGATTCAATTAGGCGTCCGTGCAGTTGCACGAAGGCCGTGTTGCAACACGGAGGTGGCCTGTTTTTCTGGTCATTATTAATCCAGAAACCTTAATGATGAACAACATTTGTGTTATTGTCTCCCCAAATTTAATTTGTTTATGCAGCAGTTCAGTTAATCCTGCAATCTGTTTTTCTCAAACGAGGGCAGATAATGGAGACACCGTTCTTTACAAGTCTTCAGGCTTTTAAATTCTGATAAAATCAGGGTTCTTCACTGGGTCTTGCCCCAGCTCTGAATTAAACCACTTTAAATGTAATTATGGAAGCTGGCCTTACATCAGGGACATCCATTTACAAAATTGATTGGCCATGCTGTTCCGCGAGCCATTTCATGAGCAAACGATCGCAAAAGGGCCAGAACCGTGATTTATAAAGGCAAAAAAAGCAGGTAAATACTTTATCAGTGGTAATGAGAAAGTTTCCAACTAACTGAACCTTTTTCTTCCCTCACCAGCTACTTCATGGAGCCGTGGTGCATGGCCCTCTTTCACGATCGTTTTATTGATCTCCGGAAAGAGTTACGCCAGATCTTATCCTCCAAGGAGGTGAGAGTGATTAACAGATATGTAGGTTATTCCTTGCAAATTAGAAGCAGTTACAGTTGTTGATCATTTAGACTTTTCCCTACATTCCCACTTTACGGTTTCACTTTGAAAATCAACTGTCCCTCACAGAAACAAACTAAGGAGTAGGTAAACATAGATGGTGATATTTCAGGGAATGTGGATTGTTCCAATCTTTTATGCGGGGCAGATTTGCTTTCCCCTTTTACAAGTACCTGTACTTTCATTATCCGCGGACAGTGAGGGCTGAAAGCGCGGTGTGGGTGGTATCTCCTTGCCCTCGAGCATGAAGGCTGCATTCCTATAGTTTCTGTCTGCGTTTGCCAGCTGTTCGCTAACCCTTCGTGTGCGCATGTTGTTCCAAAGGTGTCAGGGGACTCAACAGGTGTCGAAATGCACTCCTTTTATAACCGACACTTCTTTCTCCAAGCAACGTAGGATTAACTGGAAGTGAGGCTGCACACCCCGCAGGCTCCGTACTCGGCAGGGAATTGGACTCTGCCATGTATGTAGTAAAATATTTGTGAAAATTTATCTTTTTCAACACCTAGAGTCCTTACCGGAGTTGCGGGGAGTTTACACCTTTGGTCAAACGTGCATTCTAGACTCCTCCTCGATTCACTCGGACGAGAGCTGGGGCTCAGCTGACCTTCCGCCTCGTCCGACTGTCTAGACGGTCAGGTTCTGCGTCTCTGTGTCGCCTCCTCGTGGGTCCCCGGGGTGTGGGCTGCCACACCGGATGCACAGATGCAGCCCAGGTCCCCAGGCCCCTCGTTCTAGCCGCTGCACGCCCCACCTCACCGAACCACACAGGGACCCTCCGAGGTGGGTGGAGGCACTGTTGTCTCACCTCCACTTCACCCATGAGGAAGCTGAAGCCGAGAGACTTCACGCAACCCAAGGGTCTCCCGCTCCAAAGCCAGGGTTGTCGGCCCTGGACCACAGCGGTGGGTGGTACCCTCTCCTCATTGCCCCGCCCCTGTTCAGTTTCATCCCGGGGGGGGGGGGTCCAAGCTGGGAAACTGACATAATTTTACTAATCAGAGGTAGATTCAGATTGCGAAACATAGGTTTAAAGTTTAAACCAAACTCAATTCTCTTTGATGCCCACAAAGATAGGAACCAGGCGGGGAAGCGTACCCAAGGGAAGCAGAGGGGCTGACGGCTAAAGGCCCAGGTCAGCCACGGCAAGAGTCATTCAAATTGGAAATGAGAATAGTAATGAGATAGAGAGAGAGATTTAGGATGTCACAGGTCAGCCAGGTCCCTGCACTTCGTTCGGGGCTGTGAGGAAGTCGGTCCACATTAAAACATGACCCCGAGCTGGAAGCCTGGTGCTCACTGAGCTTTGCTAAGCTCCCTCCCTCTTTCCGTCCCAAGACAACCTGCAGCTCACCACTGCCCCATAAGAAGGAGTCATCAGTATTCTCGCTATTCCATCAACATTCTATGCCTAAACCTTCTAAACCCCAGATCTGAACTCCTCAGTTAACCTTTTGCACAGAGCCAAGCGGTTTTTGGTGTCAAGTTTAAAAGGGAAACTTTCCCTTCATTTTCCCAAGCACGCATCCTCAAATGCAATGGTGGCTGCTTCTCATGGCGCCCGCTGAGACTCCTGAAACCTTTTAGGCAGGAGAACATGTTTGCCGTGGGTCAGTCTGCAGTGCGTAAACTCGGCCTGGCAGTGGGCCCTGGCAGGAGAGCAGGGAGACTGCAAGTGGCCTTTGCAGAAGATGCTCTAAGGCTTCCCCAACCATCCTCATGGGTTCTCTACATTTCCAGAAAGGGGAACCTCTGCAAGAAGAGCCTCCACTGGGGGACTGTTCTGACATCTGTCAAGTGCAAGGGCCACAGGAGGCATTGGGGCCTGTAGTGGTGTCTGCCTGTAGCTCAGATACACATGGAACAGGGACTCAGAGAGCTCGGGGGGAGAAAGGGAGGGTTTGTGTGCGAGCACGGGGCACAGAAGAATGGCCCCAAGGAAGTGCCGGCCACCAAAAGTCAGAGTGACTGTGACAGGTATGGTGGAGACAGGCCAACAGTGGAAGTGGTAGTCATACAAACAGACATGCGGGAATTTCACTGAGGAGTCTGGTAATAGGAAAACAAAGCAGATAGCCTTCACTACAGAATAACAGTAATTCCTTTTACCAAACGTTGAGATGATGTAACCCACTTAATTTCACTTTCTACCTTGTCTTCAGGGAAGTACAGAAGTTCAATCCCATTAACTATGATGTCCTAGCACTCAGTTTATCAATTTTCCCCTCCCTCCACGTGTGGAGAAAGAAATAAATGACTATTATCTAGGACTTCCGTAAGTCATATGTAGATTTTAAATGTGTATATGGTTTATTTTGAAAACAAGATCATTATAAGACATCTCAAATCCTTTTGTGGAAGTCAAAAGGGGAACGGCTTATAAATCCTCTGGTCATGCATCTAGCCAAAGAGTCACTGACCAAGGTGAAATTCTGTATAGTCAAAATCATCCTTCAGAAAGATGGCTATTGATAGAGTTGGGAAAAAATAGTTTGAAAATAATAGAGACTTTAATATCTCACTTTCAGTAATGGATAGAACCAGATAGAAGATTAACAAGATAATAGAATACTTGAATAGCACTAAAAACCAACTGGACCTAACAGATTCATACAGAGCACTCGACCCAACAACAGCAGGATGCATGGTCTTCTCAAGTGCGTGTGGAACATTCTCCAGGACAGGCCACCAAACAAGTGTCAATAAATTTTAAAAGACTTAAACCATACAAAGTATATTCTCCAACCACGATGAAATGAGACTAGAAATCAACTAGAAAGTGAACAACAGATTCTTAAGCAACTTCTTTGGTTTCAAAGAAGAAACCAAATGGGATGTTAGAAGTACTTAGAGACAAATGAAAATGAAAACACAACCGACCAAAATTTATGGGATGCAAAGAGAAAACAGTTTTCAGAGAGAAATTTATAGCTGTAAATGCTTACATTTAAAAAACAGGAAAGCCCTCAAATCAGTAACTTAATTCTACTCCTTAAGGAACTAGAAGAAAGAAAACCAAACTAGAAAAAGAAAACCAAACTAAACCCAATGCTAGCAGAAGGAAGGACTTAATAAACATTAGAGTGGAGATAAATGAAATAAAGAATTAAAAAAAAACAGAGAAGACTGATGAAACCAAAAGCTGGTTCTTTTAAAAGATCAATAAAATAAACCTTTAGCTAGATTAATCAAGAAAAAAAAAGACTCAAATCCCTAATGAAATGAAAATGGGGACATTTACCAACCTTAAATAATAAAGGTTAAAAGAGAATATTATGAACAATTGTATGCCAACTAAACAGATAACCTAGATGAAACAGAGAAATTCCAAGAAACACACAAACTACAAAAACTGACTCAAGAAGAAACAGAAAATCTCAAGAGACCTATATGACAAGAAAAGGTATTGAATCAGTAACCTAAAACCTCCCAAAAAAGGGAATCCCAAGACCTGACGGTTTCACTGCTGAATTCTACCAGACATTTGAATAAGAATTAACACTGATCCTTTTCAAACTCCTCAGAGAAATAGGAGAGGAAGGAACACTTCCTAGCCCATTCTATGAGGCCAGCATTACCCTGATACCAGAGCCAAAGACATCAAAAGAAAAGAAAACTACAGAACAATATCCCTTATGAAGTTATGATGCAAAAATCTTCAGCAGAATACTAGCAAACTAAATCCAGTAGCACACTAAAAGGATTATACACCACGACCAAGATTTACGCCAGGAATGTAAGAGTGGTTCAACATATGAAAATTAATCCTTGTAATACACCACATTAATAAAATGAAAGAGGGGGAGAAGTGCTATAATCTCAATTGATGCAGAAAAAGCATTTGACTAAATCACACATGCTTTCATAGTAAAAACACTAAAAAGCCAGGAACAGAAGGAAACTGACCCAACCTGATAAAGAGTATTTATGAAAAGCCTATAGCTAACATCACACTCAATAGTGAAGGACTGAAAGTTTTACCTCAGAGATCTGGAACTAGACAAGAATGCCTGCTTTCACCACTTACATTCAACAGTGTACTGGAAGTTCTAGTCACAGCAATTAGGCAGGAAAAAGAAATAAAAGGCATCCACGTTTGAAAGGAAAACTATCTCTATTTTCAAAGGACATGATCTTATATAAAGAAAATTTTAAAAAATCACAAAAGAATATTAGAGCTAATAGATGGACTTGGCAAAGTTACAGGATATAAGATCAACATACAATAATCAGTTGTCTACATTAGCGATCAATAATCCAAAATGAAATTAAGAAAACAATTCCATTTACAATAGCATCAAAAATATTAAAATACTTGGGAATAAATTTAAGCAAGGAGGTATAAGACTTGTACTCTGCAAACCACAAAACATTTCTGAAAGAAATTAAAGAAGACCTTAATAATGAAAAGACATCTATGTTCATGGATTTGAATATTTAATATTGTTAAGATAGGATAACCTAAATGGGAAAAGAATCTGAAAAAGAATAGATACATGTATATGTATAACAATCACTTTGCTGTATACTGAAACTAACACAACACTGTAAGTCAACTATACTCCAATATAAAATAAAAATTTTAAAAACCAAAGTGCCAAGTTTTAAACTAAAAAAAAATATTGTTAAGATAGGAATACTATGCAAAGCAATCTACAGATTCAATGCAATCCTATAAAAATCCCCATGGCTTTTTTTTAAGAAATGGAAAAGTCAATCCTAAAGTTCAGATGGAAATGCAAGCTAAAACAATTTGAGGAATTTTTAAAAAGTTGAAGGATACACACTTTGCAATTTCAAAACTTAATACAAATCAACAGTAACCAAGACGGTATGGTACTTGCATAAGGATAGACATATAGATCAATGGAGTAAAATTAAGAGCCAGAGTAAACCCATTTATATGAAAAGATGTTAACATCACTAATCTTTAGGGAAATGCAAACCACATCATTAATCATTAGGGAAATGCAAACCAGGGCCCCAGTGAAATACCACATCACGCCCACTGGGATGGCTATAGTTAAAAAAAAAAAAAAGAGGAAATAATGATTGTTGGCAAAGATGTGGAAAAATTGGAACTCACACATTGCTAGTGGGAATGTAAAATTATTACGCAGTTGCTGTGAAAAAAATGGTTTGATGGCTCCTAACAGCTTACAAACAGAATTACTATATGACCTAGCCATTGCACTCCTAGGTATATACCCAAAGGAATACTTGTATATGAACGTTCATAGCAGCACTATTCAGAATTACAAGATGGAAGAAAGAACCCAAATGCCCATCAAGGGACAGGTGGATCAACAAATGTGGACTATCCACACGATGGAACGTTATTCTGCCATAAAAGACATGAAGTGCTGATACAGTCTAGAAAGTGGATGAACCTCAAAACGCTGAGTTAACTGAAAGAAGCCAGACATAAAAGGTCAAGTGTCGTCTGTGGCATTGTGAGGTGAGCTGCTCACAGATGAGCACGTTGGGAGCGGGGGTGGTCACCCTGGGCGGGGGTGGTCACAGTGTCGGCGGGAGGTGATCACACTGAGAAAAGGTCACACCAGGAGAGGCAAATGTACAAAAATGAGTTTACGATCTAGAACAGTATTTGTGTTCCGTAAATTTAAAAGCTCCATTATGTGACCTTACACCATTTACCCTGATGTTAGAACAGCATCATGCAACACGAGCCCAAAATCTTCTCTAATTTTTGTATATTCACTGCTTATGTTTGATACATTTTTCCTGAAAAATTAAGGGAGAAAGAATCTCAGATGTACTGCATACGTGCTTGGGCACTCAAATGTTTCAGTGCCTCTAATACTTAGTTCTGGGCATCCCTTGCCATTTTCTCTCTTACCGTCTTTGTTGAGCCCATTTGGAGTCCTGGCCCCCCACTGACTGTACTTCCAAGTGATGTGTGTATAATCTGCCACACCTGGCAGTGTCTCACTTACTTAACCAAGTGATAATTACCTTATGTCTCCATATAGTTTGAATCTAGTTTTCTAAGTTCTTACTATTAATAAATTAATGATCCAATAGAACTCTGCAAGTTATCCGCTTTTTTGTGGTTTTTTGCTGTTAAAAATAAAAAAGAATTATTGGAAGGTCAAATAAATATACCATCAAAGTCCATCTTCCTTTAGGGTAATTTTCAATTATTGTGGTGTTCAGAAAGCACACAGCTCAAATCTCAGTGAAGTGATTTTATTTCGGCCACGCCACATGGCATGTGGGATCTTAGTCCCCTGAATGGGGATCGAACCTGTGCCTCCTGCATTGGAAGCACAGAGTCTTAACCACTGGACCACCAGGGAAGTCCCTTTTTTAAAACGTTTTTTAATTTTTGAGTGAAGTGCTTTTTATAACAACCCTCCTATAGATGGGCAGATAGGTGATGGAGCAAGTATGGTAGCTGTAGAAACCAGGTAGTGTGTATGCAGGTGTCAAGCGCACCGTTCTGTCAACTTGCCTCTATGTTTGAATCCTTTTACTTTATAATAAAATGTTGGAAAAATCTCTACTGTATTGTAAACATGCACAGCATATGCTTCTCAACTTCAAATAACTTTATTCCCTCTGAGCCCCATCTTTAAAGATATCAATGAAATTTGCCTTTACTCAGAATTTATTCCAGGGTTTTAAAAATCCCATTTCTTGGGGACTGTAACCAAGTAAAGTAACCATCTAGGAGTTTTCATGTAAAAATCTTTAATCACCTCCTTTCTTATTTTTAAAACAAGCCTGATATACAGGTCTTTTCTATCTGTACATTAAGAGCTTAAAATTAAGAGCTTAAAATTACTACCCTTGCTGAACCTTGAAGACATTATGCTACGTGAAGTAAGACAGTCACAAAAAGACAAATAGTGTTTGATTCCATTTACACGAGATGCCATAGAGAAAGGAGAAGGGTGGTCGCCAGGGGCTGGGAGGAGAGGGAGGGGGAGTCAGGTGTTAAATTAAAGAGTTACAATTTGGGAGGATGCGGACATTCTGGAGTTGAGGGTGGTCATGGCTGACAGTGTGAAAGCCCCTAACACCTTTGAATCTTACACTTAAAAATGGTTAAAGTGGTAAATTTTATGCTATGTGTGTTTTGCCACAGTTAAAAAAAATTTTTTTTTTAATGTAGAAAACAAAATGACCAACCTTGGGGAGTTTTAGTGAAACTGCCCTCTTACTGTGGAGCTAAGCCCAAGTAATTTTAGTATCTGGCCTCTTACCGTATTTTCCAGGAGGAAAACCTTCCTTCCATAGAAGAATTAGCCCGTCGGATCGAAGATGAGGGCATTAACCTGCCCGAGAAGCCCAGGAATTACCTCAGAAGAGTTTTCCAGGAAACCATCTACAAGCCTCTGGTGGAGAAGAGCATCCTTGACTATCTGCGCTATAATCATTACCACCTGCCCATGTACGCGTGGCAGGGCATCGTTTAGCGGTGGCCACGGCCTCCACTTGATTGCTTCCACTCGTATCGTTCCGGGAAGTGCTCCGCAGAAGCAGGAAACCTCTCTGAAGCCTGGCTGGACCGCCAGGCACCGTCGTGGTTCCCTCCTTTCTTTTCCGTGTCCACCGATGCCTGTGGTTTCCTATCGTCCCAGTAGGTGGCGCACGGCGGTGCGTCTGGATTCTGGGGCAGGGAGACGCTTTACCAACACCAGGCGTGTTCCTGGGCAGAATAACCCATTTTAGCAATAAAATGAGACCGTACTGTGTAAAACTTGTTTTTTACCTTGGGCGTGGTTCTGTTTGATTTCCTGAAAAGTCCTGCCGCCAATGCTGCTAGTCCTTTACATGTTTACCCGGTCATACTCGTGGGCGATAAAAAAGAAAATCGTGTGCCCAGGATGGAAAATGAGTAAAACAGATGACAGGAAATTATCTCTGTAACTTAACATCAGAAGGACTGATTGCACAGACAAGTTTACAGGACCTTTTGAAACGAGGAGGCTGCTCTCACGGCCCCTGTATTTCTACTTCCTGTCCCAGATCAGGAGCATAAATGCACCGAAAAACTGGAAGATCAGTTCAGGTTCACACACAGGTTTTAGACTAGAAAACGGTGGTGGGAAACTAATCTCGGTCATTTCCTTTGACCCTCAGCGCTGTTGCTTTGCATCGGCCCCCTCTGGTACCTGTCACCTGTAACGTGGGTCAGTAGCCCTCTTTCTTGTAAATAAAGCAAATTAAGTGCCTAGCACAAAATATGGATTCAGGAACAACACATAAGACTGTTTTCATTTATTTGAATCTCTTTTAAGCAGATAGTGTGACACAATTTGTGTCTGAATTTTTGACCAGTAGAGCTTAAAAGTGGCTTTCATGGACAGAATTACAGTTTTCGTTCTTTTTTTTTTTTTTTTTTTGGCATTTATGTTAATATTTAGCAAAAGTTAGCTCAGTTACAATGACTACACAGTAATTTGGAGGCTGTCACAGCTGGCATTACAGAATTATCCACCATTAACAAACTGATATACCTCTCAGAAATAAAATGGTTTTGGAACCCTAGACTCTGATTTTTCTAAGGCAGGCAAAAGCAAGCAATAAACTCCATTAATTCCTGCACACGTATGTTTTTCACAAGCACATGGGTCATTCAGAGGGAGGGCCCAGCTCCCACCATATGGTACAAACTGTGTAACTCTTGTGGAGAACAATTGCTACTGGTCCCCTCTTCAAACTGCAAGCCCAACACATATGGAACCATATTTCAGGGCCTGCAAATGAGTCAGCTCAAGAAACTCTCCTTCCCTCACCCCCTTCCTCTGAGAGGCCCTGGATTAAATTCATCAGCAAATGGAGTGAGTTTCTTTGACAGGCCCTGGGACCTTGGGTGGAGATTAACAGTACAACCAGTTAGAGGATCAACAGTTATGATTTCTGTGACTGAGTACTACCATTAAAAAGCTTCTGGTCACATAAAAGTGACCCCATATGATAGTGCCAACCTTAATGTCAAATCATGCATACACTCTCTAGTAAGTTTTCCTTTGCTGCCTTTTTAAAAGTAGTCTTGGGCCCCCAGAGGTATCATGGCAGATTTGAAAATGTCTAGAATATAATTTAGTCTACATGGTGCATTGGAGGAAGTTACTGACCATTGTCCTATATTCAGAAAGTGAGTCGTTTCCTGAATCTAGGCAGGAATTTTAGCATATATGTGCAGACAAGCATTTTGTCACTAAGGAACCACTTTTCTAATAAGAGACGAACCCAAGAGTTGTTGATCATAGCTTGAAACTGGCTGTTTTAAGGGCTTTAGGAAAATAAAGATATTTATTCCTCGATGATGATGAATCCTGGCAGAAGAAAGGGCTTCAGAAAGACCAAGTTTGAACTTCTCTTGGGGAGCCCTGGCATGGCTTCTGTAAGAGACATGAGTGCCAGGAAGTCCCCAGGCATTTCAGCGTGTGCTGCTCAGCAGGGAGTCTTGAACTCTAAGCCCAATCTTACTGACAGGAAAACACCAAAGTTAAATTTCCCACGTTGTATTCCCCCCAAATCACATGTCACAACCATGCCTCACAGTTGCCTCTAATGACCTTCTGACATAAGTCGGTTTTTACTAGCACGTGGCCACCTCCTTCCCCAAAATGGCTCCTGAGATGCCACCGAAATATCCCAGGAAGGCGAGAGAAAAAGAGAAGATGATGTGGGAGAGGAAAGAGAACACTGTACGGAGAAAATGTGAAGCCAGCCAATCAATATTTACCCTCAGAAGAGGGTGTGTGTGCGTGTGTGTGTGTGTGTGTGTGTGTCTGCGCGTGAGAGAGAGAGCGCGCGCACACGGGTGCACGGCTGAGTGTTAGCCAAGGCGCAGGGAGAGGGGCTCGAAAGTCATCGTGAGCGAGGAGCTGTTGATTGTTTTCTGGTTGAGAGAAGAGGTGATGATAAGGCTGGGATACAGTGCGCGCCGGGCCGGGCGGAGCGACAGCTGTATGCTAATACTCGCAGAAACCAGCCTCCGCGTCCCCCATTAAAGCAGGCGGCCAGGAGGCCACACATCACTGAACAAATAGGCTCTCTCTAGACAAATAAAATAACACACGTTGGCCTGCGGGGAGTGGGGAGAGCCAGAGGGGGAGAGGAGCGGGAGGAGAGGGTGGGAGGGGGAGGGAGAGGAGGGGAGAGAGGGAGCCCCTGAAGGAGAGAGGATGGACGGGGAGAGAGGGGAGGGGAGACGAGGTGATGGGGGGCAGGGAGGGAGACCAGGGAAAAGAATGAGAGGGACAGTCCGAGGGGGAGAGGGTCGGGGGTGGGCGAGACCGTGAGGAGGAGAGAGATGGGGGAGTGAAACATGCGAAGAGAGAGGGAGAGGTGGGACGGGGTGGGCAGAGAGGGGCAGGGGAGAAAGAAGGGAGCGCCCGGGAAGGAGGAGAGGAGGGTGGGGGAGGGAAGGTGGGAGAGAGAAGGAGGCGGGCGGGGGGGGGGGGCCGGCAGAGAAGGAGGGCGAGAGGAGGAACACGGACACCTAAACCCAACAGCAGCAGCAGGACGGACGGAGTTGGGGGGTGGGGGTGGGAACAGAGGCCCAGGCGGACAGCGCGACTCTCCAGCCCCTGGGCGTCTGGCTGCCTCTCTGTCCGCCCCCCGGGGCTGGCGAGGACTGGGGACGTTCCGAGTCGCCGTGGCCTTTCTGGTCAGTTTTGCTGGGGCTTCGTCGCTGCCTTTCCTGAGACTGGGGCGCGCGGGGAGCCGGGCCGCCCCTCACAGGTGGGAGCCGCCCCCTGCGCGCCCCACGCTCGGGGCCCTCCCGCTCCGCTCGGTGCCCTCCCAGCTCTTCCTGGCCTCATCTTCTGCTTAGGACTTTCCCACACTTCCTGGCTTCTCCTTCGCCCGCTTTGGCCAACATCGCCCTTTCCGTCGCCCGGCCCGGGGACTGTCCGGCCCGCCTCCCCTGCCCGGCCCGCGACAGTCCCACCCGAGGCGAAAACAAACAGCCCCGAGGGCACTTCAAGGAGCGTGCGGAGGCCCGACGGCACACTCGGGAGGATGAAAGGGGGCGGCCGGCCACCCCGTGGGCCCCGGCGAATAATGGGCGCGCAGCAGATTGCCGGGGGCACTTGAAACTCGAGGGGAGGGAACTGCTGGAGCGCGGTCCCTCCCCGCGCCCGGCGGACGGCGCAGCCTCGCGGATTCGCCGTCGTCTGCCCTCTTTCATGCGCTCTCCTTTTGTGTGGAATTATTTAAACGGGAGATCCATGGCAGCTTTATGCTAATGTGCCGAACAAAGGCGACGGCCCGCCGGCGGGGGCCCGGAAGGTGCCTGGAGGCCGGAGCGGGACGGGCGGGGAGGCAGCGGGCTGCGCGTGGCTCTCGCGTGCCCTGGGGCCAGACACGGCCGCCCCTCATTCCTGCAAACACAAAGCCTCTCCGGCTCGGGCCGGCGCGCGCGGCGCACGGGGAGCTGGGCCCCTCCGGGACCTGACGGCGGGCTCTGCGCCTGGAACGCTTGGTCCAGGCCCGGCCGTGGCTCGCGGGCCGGGAGGGCCTCTGCGAATCCGGCAGAGGCGTCCGCAGCCGGCCCGGGAAGGCGCTGGGGGCGCTGACCACTCCCTCTCGCGCCTCCCGAGCGTCTCCAAACGCGCCGCGCGCCGCGGGGTGAGACTGCGGACCCTCCTGTCCTCTCCTCTTAGGAGCTTAGGGGCTGCCTAGTCCCGGCGACATCCCACAGGGCAATTCCTGAGCCGAAATTCCTCGCTCTGGCGCTTATCTCCAAGCTTTGCGCTTCCAGCAACTCCCTGGCGCTAAACTCGGGAGCCGAGGGTCACAGTGAACCCCACTGCGTTCCCCGACGGCAACCTAGGACTCCAGGACAGGAGATCTTAGAGCGGCCGCGGCCTCCAGCTCTGCAGCGGTCAGAGGAAGAATCCACCGCGGGGTCCGCAAGCACGAGGGCCGAAGAGGCCTCTGGATTTTTCCCAAGCGCCGGCCAGGACCCCACAGGAAGGGGAGGAGTCGCTTGGGGCCTGGGAAGGACACTTCGGGACCCTGCCTGGGATCCCTCTGCTCGCCTCCTCCCGTGAAACTCCCCAGGAGGGGGCAAGTCAGCGCTCAGTGTTTCCCCAGCCCAACTCCACGCGGCCCCTATCCGGAATCGCAATGCGCAAAGGCCCGCCGCCGCGGCGCAGCGTGGTAGCGCTTCGCTCTCTTCCAAGAGGAAGGAAAATATCTCGACTCACTGTCCAAATGCCCGCGGGCGGGCAGGTTCTGAGAAATAAAATCACGCAGAAGACGCAAACCCACGGCCGGGTGCAAGGGTGCACGTCCTTGGAGGTTGCCGGTGCGTTCGTGAGCGCAGCCTAATTCTTCCTCAGCCCTGGGTTATGAAATTAGTTTCTAATACTCGGACCTTTCAAGTTTCCATTTGTTTTTGACGGTACCTGTCTGAAAGCAGATTTCATTTTCGCTGGCCAGACTAGAAACCACAAAGAAAAAGAAATGGATCCATTGAATCTCAGTATTTCAATAGTGTTCAATAGATTCTCCTGGCTTAATTCAGAGCCCTATTTGAATTTGCTGCATTCAGGCAGGGGTTTTGTTTTGTTTTGTTTTTAGCCTCCCACCCCCGCCCTCTTTACAATTATGGGTGTTGTTATTTTTAAAGGATTCACAAGGTGACTAACTCTCCCTGTTATCTGTTGAATGAAAGGAGTGTTACACATGTAAGACCAA